TATGTTTCTGTCAGTGTTTGAACAGCCTCACGTGTTTAATCCAGAACACTAAGCTACTTAATGATCATAGGACCTCAAATGTCATATGAAAATATGAAACCTTTATCTTTTAACTGAATTCTGCTTTCATGCATAGCATGGTTCTAAAATCACAGTTGTGATATTTATTAGCTGTCTTTGCAAAACCATGGGTAATACATCTTTCACATTTCATTGAGAAGAAAAGAAATTTAATCCCATCAGGATCTCCATTATTAGCTCTTCCTCTTGAGTTTTGTCCTGTGGGGATTTTATGTTGGCCAGATGGTGCTCTGAAGAATCTTTAGACTGATCAACATTTTACAGTGGCAAAGTGAAAAAGCAAAAATCCATTTTTGAGTTAGGGGACTAAATTTTATATGTTGTCATCTTGCCTCACTGTGTCCATACTAGTCAATATTTGATTCTAATTCAACATTGTACAGTTATTCTCTTACATGGTAGAGCAACTTCGTCTTCATTTACTTTGGAAAAGCCCTGTTTTTCATTTGTTCTATTGGACAACTGTAATTAGTCACTTAACTGAAATCTCTATTCTCTTGAATTCTACCAATTCTAAAGATTACTCTACAGACCATATCTTTATGTTGGATCTATTCTCTGAGGAATGTCAATTAAATTTCATCAGAGGCAAAAATTTAAATATCTCTTTCCATATTCATTACAGAATATTTATCTTCCATGAAGCAGTGTTGCCAAATGAAATGTTTGAGAATCAACCTGGGGGAAATTATTTATTTCTCAAATTGACCCAATTCTCACTTTTAAACATCTTGAGGCTTCTAATCTTCAAGTAGTTACCCTTATGGCCAAAAATATTTTAAATGGATAATAATTCCAAGGTCACAAATTCTGTCATAAATACTTCTAAACAATGTAACATTTCAAAGTGTGCATTCCAAAGCTTTCTTCTATGGAATAAATAAGATCAATCTTCACTTAGAATCTTCTCACTCTTGTCCGTTGTCTTAATGGAGTCTATGAAAGTATCCCTTCTATTATATATAAAGCCACATATCTTATTTCCAGAAAAGTACTCAATTATTTTTGGTTTTGGTAGGCATGACCAAAAAAAGTATGCCAGTAAGGATCTATCGCTTGTCTTATCTATGTATTCCTACATTATATTCAAAGTTTACCCTTCCTGCTCTAGCTACATAAACAATAGAGGTTTTCCCAAGCTTATTATTTCCTTTCTTATATCTTTGCCTTTGTATGTCAGAGTCTCTCTGTCTGGAAAGCATTTCCCTTTCTTCACTCTCTATTTATGTAAATAGTTACTCTTCCTTCAAAACTCTGATCAAATTCCATGTTTATGTCGATTTCCCTAAACATTTCTTTCTAAACACACACACACACACACACACACACACACACACACACACACACTCACGACTTTGCTGTATTTTCTCTTTTCAGTCTTCTAATAATACTTCATAATCCGTTTTTTAAAATTAAATCATTTGTCTATGTTCTCTCTCTACTCTTACTAGTTTTTGGGACTTGGAAATCAGAGTGCATCATTTATTCATCTTTTGATCCCAGGATCTAATCCAGCACTGCCATAGTAACAAGCACTTAAAGTACATTTATAAATAGTTAATTGAATTAAATATGTGGGATACTGTAAAAATTATTCTTAAATTCTGGAAGATAACACTATAGTGATACTTATATTGAAGTCAGTATCTAAGATCACAATAACCAAAAGTAGATATGCTATTTTTTTAAGTATAAAGTTTTCATGAAACAGAAATAAAACTTAAAATTCCTAATAAAAATAAGCAAAAAAGGAGGGTAGGGAATCTGAATTTATTTGCCAAAATTAACTCATATTTAAGATAGAAAACATCTAAACCAGGTGAAGAACTGAGTAAGACTTTTTAACTAAAAGATACATTAAAAGCAGCTCCTGTGATTGCTTTATAAACAACTCTTAATATTTTGAAACATCAAGGGAAATTGAAGTGAAGAGAATTAAGAGCTAACCATCTCTACTCAACTCTATTTTTGTGGTTGACTAGGATGAGGCCTCAGGAAGGGGAGTCAAGTAGACCTAACATTAACAATTTACCAACAGTCTAAAATGGGCCAAATTATATTTTGCACTTTTTTTTGGTCCTCTTTAAACAGTGCCAACATCCTTATTTTGACAAACAAAAATATAAACCAAATTATAAAATTATTCATTAATATTACATGACATTTCATTGTGCTTACAACTTTCCTGATAACCACAAAGACTGAACTTTTGTTAAGACAATTACAACGATTTCACAAAAAAATGTGCCTGGAAGCTTGAGAGAAAGGAAAGCATAGTTGATGAGTTTCAAAGCAGAAATATTTGAAAACATGCACATGAAAGAATTCTTGTAAGCATTCTCTTGGATTTAGTCCTTTTCTCTTTCTACCTACTGCACCTCCACTCCCCTTCAACTTCAAAAAAATAAGCTTTGGGTGGAGTTAAGAACTCTTTTCAAATGTTAAACAATAACTGGAAATCCTGAAAATGTATTCTTCTTCATCCAGTGGGAAAACATTTTAAAATCTCCCTCCCTTTTTATTTTTTTGCTAAGAATTGTTTGCATGAGATTTACTCAGTGGTTGGTATTTTGAACAGAAAGCTCAGTTTTAACTGCCTGAAATTTAGTGCCATCTGTGTTTATTTTTTTCTTCCAAAACACAATTCTTTTTTTAAAAAAAATGTAACAAATACATAGTACCAATAACCCAGATAAATGTGTCAACTCAAATAATTCTTCACTTTAACCAATAGTGCAACTCGTCAAAGATCTAGAACATATACCATAAAAATGTGAATTCCATTACAAATGTAAATCATATTAAGCATATTTACGAATTCAAATAATTTTAAATATTCTGACATACATAACTATGTGTTTTATATCTATTTGCCAGAGTAGAGGTAGCTATGGAGTGAGGACCAGGGGCACATTGCCCGCCACAATGTATTGATGCTCGCAGAATGGGCCAGGCCAGAGGCAATCACTTTGACCTCAAGTTCCCTAACTCCATACTACCTGCTGGATGTACTCACGCCTCTACCTTGGTTGGCAGTATCTGGCCTGTGGAAACCACTTGAAATTAAAGTTTAAATTTATTCATAATGCATTTTAAATTGTTTTAATTACTGTGAAGTAATATGTAACCATACATATCATTACATATTTATATTTGAGCTGATAAATCATTACATATTTATATTTGAGCTGATAAATTTCTGTAAAAAAATCATTCTGAAAGTTTTTAACTGGAGAGTTGGGCTTAATCTCTTTTTCATCAAGTAATCCATGAAGAAAAATTCAAACATTTTATTTAAAGCTTATTTGCATCTCAAAGAATGCTTAAATTCCATATATCATTTTTTATTATAGCCTGACATTTCTTTCATAGCTATGATAGTGTTTGAAAGTACTCCAAAGTATGTGTGTGTGTGTGTGTGTGTGTGTGTGTGTGTGTGTGTGTGTGTGTGTTGCTGTATTAAAATACATGTTCTTTAATATCAGCCCCAACACTGATCCTAGAAAGTTTACGTGGTACCAGGTTTTCTATTCCTAGGACGTGGATGATGTGTTATAAGTCATTTCAATGGACATATCCCTAAAATAGCTGGACACATAGGATTTAGCACCTAATGTTTCCTGTTTCCACTAGAGCCTTCACAGGGCATGAGTTAAGCTGAACTGTTTGGGAACACAACATGTCCCAAGTCATCCTGACACTCACTTGAAAAACAAAAACAGAAGAGGACAGAGGCACGACTGCTGCTGCTGTCTGAAAGTCATGGGGATTTGACTCAAGAAATTCTTATGTTCTGAGTATTCTACCTTTTATTTCTCAGCTGGATGTTCCTCTGTGGAGGAGCAGACAAGTGTACACTTTTCCAGACAACAATCCTGAAAGCAGGTCCTGCTTTTCCATTTCCTTTTGCCCAGAAGCAGGTCTAAAATAAATTCTTAATTTGTGATGAGGATGTGCTTAACCCACTCTATGTGTATACATTTATTTTGTGTGTGTGTGCGTGCACTTTGCTATTTATCACTTTACATTATTCATACCTAGCGTTCCTTGGACTCTACCCTTGTCTCCAGAAGTTGCTTTAAATGTGTTATGTGAGAACTGACATTTTATATCTCAACTATTTTTTTTTCATAACCTCTCTTTTCCCTGACATTTGCAGGGCACATTAAATTAATATACAATAACAAAATAAACCAGCCATAATTAATTAACAAATTTTAACTTAGAAATCCTTCACCATGCTGGGTGCAGTAGCTCGCACCTGTAATCCCTGCACTTTGAGACACTGAAGTGAGAGGATTGCCTGAGATCAGGAGTTTGAGACCAGCCTGGGCAACAAAGTGAGACTTTGTCCGATGAATGGATAGATAGATAGATAGATAGATAGATAGATAGATAGATAGATAGATAGATAAGCAGGCAAGTCAGACTTGGCGGCATGCTCCTTTAATCCTAGTTACTTGGAAGGCTGAGGCAGAAGGATTGCCTAAGCCTAGCAGGATGTGGCTATGGTAGCTGTGATTGTGATTGTGCCTGGGTGACAGACTGAAATTCTGACTCAAAAAAAAAAAAAAAGAAAGAAAAAAGAAATTCTCCAACAATACAGCACTGACGATGTTAAAAAAAAATTAATAGTATGATGTCTACTTAAAATATTATTACAGTACACAAAATTAAACAATAAATTTTTTAGCTCTCTTCTAATAAGTGCAGTTTATTTTGTTTACTAATGTGCACATTTTGTCAAATAATGCAACACATTAAAGAGTGATGAATATTTAACATCTCCAAGAAAGATTTCATATCAATAACCAATCTTAAAATATCTTGCCCACACTTATCACTTAGTACTCTCTGAAAACATAACTGTACAAGGAAAATGCATTCAAACTGTATTGCCAAATTTGACTAATACTCACGAGAGGATGTTCCCAATGTAAGCATAGTAGGAGCAACAGTAGGGCGTCGTTCCATCACAGCAATAAGATCTGCAGTCTTTGCCACACTGAGCAAGGCAGTCATCTACAAAATAAAAAATCACGTATGAGCAGTTTCAGAAAAAAATAAAATGACAGTTTCAGAAAAAATTATTCTATTTCACATCTTTTTTTTTTTTTTTTTGACTTGGAGTCTCACTCTGTCACCCAGACTGGAGTTTAGTGGCCACTCCCGGCCACTGCAACTTCGACCTGCTGGACTCCGGCAATCCTTCCGCCTCAGCCTTCCAAGTACAGCCTTCCAAGTACATCTGGAACTACAGGCACATACTACCACGTCCGGCTAATTTTTTATTTATTGTAGAGTTGAGGTCTTGCCAAGTTGCCTAGGCGGGTCTTGAACCCTCAGGCTCAGGCAATCCATTCACCTCAGCCTCCCAAATCGCTGGGATTACAGGCTGAGCCACCGAGCCCGGCCTCTATTTCACATCTTAACCAACTACCACTCTTTGGTACATTTATATCTTCATTTTCATGTTCAGAATTCTAAAACATTTGTAAGGGCCTAGATTAGCCTCTCTTCCTCATTAGACTCTAACTTGGCAAAGGCAAAGGTCATTCTTGAATCTTCTACACTGAGCACTATAATTAGTAATCTGGATTGGCTGAATGAGACAAGGGAAGAAAGAATGAAAGAATGAGTCAACTCATCAGCCATTTAATATAAAAACAATAGAGTTTTTATAATTATTTGAAAATTATAAAATCTTTTGACTTCAGGGTATTATATTCTCAATTAATCTCAATTACTGACATGGGTAATACCAAAGAAGGATAATTTCAAGATAATGTATATTTTCCATGCTAATGCATTGTATACTTTTCTTTTTATACCATTTTTTACCTTCATAATTACAGTTTGTATATATCTGGTAACACAAATGAATCCGCATCCTGTCAACCCATTTGAATTGTATGATGATGAGTTAGTTCTAGAAAGACGTTTCCATAGGTAATTAATTTGTAAATAATTAAGAGTTTATTTAACATCAGATTGAAGAATCAATATACTGCAAACACACCATGTGAAGGGGGAAGTAAACTAATTTGGTGGGCAAGCAGAATCAAGTTACTATTTTTTCTACATTTTTTTTTTTAGCAAGAAATGTTATTCTAAAAATATTGAATAAGAATCACCCTAACGTTTAAAAGTTCTTTATTCCACCTAGATGATTTATATTTAACAAGTTAAGGTTACCATTGAGTTATAAGTAGTAATATAGGCCAGGTGCCAGAAGAGCACATCTGTAATCCCAGCACTTTGGGAAGCTGAGGTAGGAGGATCACTTGGGTCCAGGAGTTTGAGACTAGTTTGGGCAAAATAGTGAAACCTCATCTATACAGAGAGTAAAAAAAAAAAAAATTAGCCAGTGTGATGATGCACAACTTGTAGCCTCAGCTATTCAGGAGGCTTATGCAAGAGGATAGCTTGAGCCCAGGAGTTGGAGCACTGCATTCCAACCCGAGCAACAGAGTAAGACACTGATTAAAAAAAAAAACGAGCAGTAGTATAAATTATGAGGGATATGTGAGTTGCAGGTAAATGATTAAGAAAACATTAAGCAAGGGGGCGGGGCAAGATGGCGACCTGGCAACCCGGTGTCTGAAGCCCTCTGCAAGGGAGATCTGCAGTGGGTCTCTGACTCTCGCCCCCGGGAGGCTGGGGACCCCAGCATTGCAGCCTACTCCTCAAACAGAGCTCGGCCATCGCTATCACTGGAACATCGCAAGGACTGGACATTTTTACTGCATCGTCCTCTCCCGCTGCTGCCGCAGCCCCTCCCCCCACCAGCGCTCCCGCCGCCGCCGCCGCTGTCACCGCGCCCGCCGCGGCCTCTGGCACGGGTAGCTCATCACAACCCGGCCGGAGGAGATCCACATCAAACCGCTTCAGGGAAGATCTGCTGGGATCGCTGCCACCGCTCCTGCGACGGAGACTGTCCTGCCCACCCGGCGCGGGGCTCCTGTTGCCTGCTCGGAGGCAGGCAGGCATCTTGTTCCTGTCCGGCCCCACCCCCTCTGGGGCGAGCAGATGAAATACCACCACCTGCTGGCGATTCAAGGTAACA